TTATTGATTTTCAGTGTGGAGTTTCCGAATTCTTCAATGTTTTCAAACCTTCGTACCAGTAATTACCTCCTCGCAAGTGCAGTTGGAATCGACGTTCAAGTTGAATGTTTTTTTCTTAGTTAAAATCTTATAGATATTTATGCTTCAAGTTCATTTCTAAGTATCATCAATATGAACTCTAATCGGATACCTTTCGAGTTTTACTCCCTCGACACTCCCTAAACCCTACGTCCTCTATCATCATTACCCGTCAGTTATTCAGTCCTTGGTCTTTTCTTCTTCACCTTTGGTGACTTCCCGCTAATATTTAGAAACACGTACCAATATCTTATGTCCATCAGCTAAAATTTTGACAAATTTTCTTACTGCACACATCCACCAGTATAGACACACATGATTCTATGTTGAACATTTGCCACCACCTATAAAGGTGTTTCTGTTTCACTCCTCTATCGCAAATGGAAACTTGTTCATGTCATTTGATATTACTATCTTGATTTGTGTTTCGACATATTGAATACGATAATACAGCGACGTAATTATGTATGCGCACCTTGATGCTTATAGTGGGTTTTTGTATCTATGTCTACAGATAACCCAATCAATGATTTTTCTGAACAAGGGCAAAACCCCCATTGTTTTGGCTCACTAGGCCCGACTTGGAATTTGCAGCCCCTAAGGTTGCAGTATAGTGGGTTTTTGTATCTATGTCTACAGACCAAAGACTGCAGTGAAAGGGGATACCTCTCTCTCTCTCTCTCTCTCTCTCTCTCTCTCTCTCTCTCTCTCAAAACAAAAAAAATTGTCTACCGCAAGTGCTGGGAATGCAACCCTAAGAGCCTTGCTTTGTTCTTTTTTTTTTAATGGAGAGAGGGATAATTTCATTGTCTTTTGACTGCAAAAACAGAAGCAGGTACTGCAACCTTAAGTCCTGGTACTTTTGAGAAATGAACCACCTATTCAAAACTTATTCAACAGAAAAATTTCCCAGATTTAAAAAATCATTCTATAATAAAATTACATTATAAATTTCTAATTTTTATTCCATCTTAAAAAATGTCATTCAAATTAAAAAAAAAATTGTCTTACTTGAAAACTTTCCTTCTAAGAATGGGGTATTCCTTCTTATTTGAATTGCATGTTAGATATGGAATAAAAGTCTGGATGAGTTCATGAAATATTTTAATTGGACTGTCATTCTAAGTAAGGATTTTCAGTCATAAACAGGTTAATCCAATCCAAATTATAAGATATTTCTTGTAAAATAATGAATGTTTAATTAAAATTTTTCAAAAACTCGTCCAGACTTTCATTCCATCTTGAACAAATAGATGTAGTTGGAAGGGAAAACTCATATTTAAGCTGAAACTTGTCAAATAAAACTGAAAATTTTATAATTGGACGAACATCGGAATTATAATTTATCAATATGAAGGATTTTTTTTTTATGGATTTTTTTTTCAACTTTCATTTCTTATGGGAATTTTTCTGTTGTTTTTTTTTGGGTCCATATGAAATTGATGACCGGTCCTTCAAATTTACGAAGGCAACGGTTCTATAAGCGGTAGTTGTGGGTCCTCAACAAAAAAACGAAGGATCATTCCCCCCAATAAATTTAACCCCTAAATAACCCCATTATTCACAAGTCGCCCCCTGCAAAGAATGTGTCACCTTGAAACAAAAGCCCGAACCCACTATACTGCAACCCTTAGGATTACGAACATATGGTCTCACCACACCTTTTTTGAAACATGAAAGGTTTCAAGAGTTGCCGAGCATTTACAATAGTTCTATTTTTAAGAGTTTTTAGTCTTTGTTCATGCAAGAACCTTTAACGTGTGATTCTCAAGGTCATGATGTGTACATAAAAGACATACATATGTTTTGTTTGTTGCTGAGTAGTATGTTTAACACCTCTTGAAATTGAGGGTTCTTTAAGTGTTCAACCCTAAAACCCATTTCTTTTTTTTTTTAACGAAAACGACAATTTTATTTTAAGTCAGAAAATGGGTTTGTCTCTCTTTATATATATGTCACAACCTGCGTAGCACAGCGAACGTGTTCGCGCCCCTCCACGTTCGCGCAAACAGCTCACGAACGTGTTCGGGCGAAAAAAAAAAAATTCGGGTATAATTTTTTTTTTTTTTTTAATTTTTAACTCACATTTGACTAAGAATGTGAACTTAACTCCAAGACAAAAGTTACTTGTATTGTTACTTTACATGACATATATTATTTTTTATATTTTTCTGATACGTTTTTTTTTTTAATATATATATTTTTTTATGTTCGTGTTCGGAGTGTTTTGGGCGTTAGTTCGCATTTGGGCGAACATATTCGGGTTCGCCTCCGAACGCGAACATGATGCTACATAGGTCACAACTATACGGGGATGAACAAGGCATTCCGACCAATTCCAGATCGCAGCCTGTAAAATGCAAAAAGATGAATGATTTAATAAACCATTAAAACACCAAGAAAAACTTTATAAACATATCCCCATTCCCTAAATATCAAAAGGTCAAAAGACAAACCCTACCTATTCATCGATTTATAACTCTAATTAAGCTTTCAATCGTTGAAAAAAAGGTAAAAGTTCAACCCCCTACCTATCCATTAGTTTACAATCCTAACTAAACTTTCATCATTGAATAACCCTAATTAATATCATCCTTACTACTAAATGGGCCAAAACCATCTGACAATTAGTAATTACACAACAGTAACAATTAGGTTTTTTAAAATCATTCGTTCACAAAATAATCAACCCTAGATTGTCAAGCAGTAAGTAACGCCATAGAAAATCAACCGCTATCTCGTAACTAGAAAATAAAAAATGCTATCTTGTAATCGACGATTACTCTATAGTCACAAACTCCTGATAGCATCCTAATTATGATATTTTCTGCTTGGTCAAACGTTAAATAACGCCACATAAAATCATAGTCATTATAGCCTCAAAATTCAAAGGAATACAATTCGTAATTACGTTCTAGTTCGCTCTCAACAATAAACAAATCCTACCCAAGCAAATAACAAGAGAACAAAACTATAATTGACTACACAATAATAATTGACTTGATGCTCTACTTAGTAAGCAAACAACATTCTTAATAAAAAAAGCAGAAAACAACAGGAAAAGAAACCTAATGTTGTATATAATCCAAAAATTACTAATCCCATAGTGAACATTGATAGACGAATTCATAAACAAACAACATTAACTCAATTAGCACACCCTGAAATAATATTAACCAAACCAAACCTGCCATAACAACGAATTAAAACCTGCCCAATCAAGCGAACACCAATTTTACCAACAACTCACAACGGTCCATAACCCAAAAACTAGTGTGTACATACCTAATTAAACTATTGGTACTTGGCTCAACTATCAGCAGCGGAAAGAATAGAGCTCCTGGTTTGATGAATTTTTGCGCTCCTTTAGTGATCCATACGTTTTCTAAAGTCGTGGTTTGTTTATGGGTATGACTTATGGAAGTACTGGTGGTTTAACCAAACTACTGACAACCCAACAAAATGACAAACATGATTATTAAAGCAACCATCAATACCCGCCAACACATTTCTTAATTAAGATTCATGACAATGAAAAAAAAACGATCAAATAATTTTCGCCTTACAGTCGCCGTGGTCAACCGATCTTCCGTTTACTCATAAGGCAATAAATCTAAAAATCTTCCAAGCGTGTGGTATATACGTAGTACAATCCAAGGGTTAGAATTGTCTACGCCAGATCGCAGAGCCAAATATCTGTAGACACATTCGCCTTAGGCTAAGTTTTTCCACATCTGAATCGCCCTCACCAGGTATGTCTCCCAAATGGTGAAAAAGTGCCTCTCTTTGAACAATCCATATTCAAAATCCTCACCATCGAATCAAACAAATAAACTTTACAACAATCGCCACCAGGCCACATGTAGAAGCCATAGAATCATCAGAGAGATCGAGCTTGGCTAATCACTCTGCTTCCCATCATCATCCGTCCACAACCCACATGTCGCCATCATTACGAATCTTCAACGAACAAAAGGTTTTCGTATCTAAAATAAGAGGGTAAGCCCCTGATCAAGTCGTAATTCTGATATGATGCAACGCCCAAATTCCGCCTGTTCAACCACCCCACATCTATCTTCCGTCCAGCCGTGTTCAACATAGGATTGCCAGCTGAAGTCAACCGAGACGGGGCTATGCCAGGGGTACGACAGTGCCCCTCCAAGGCGATCTCCATCCGACGCCCTCGCACCCATCTTCCCTTATCGCCTCCACCACCCCGACCACAACTGCAGCATGCGGCTACGCTGATGCGCTCCCACGTAGTCCGAGCACCTTGAAGGAACGTTTGGGCTAACATGTTCAAGAGGCTGTGTGGCGGTGCAAAGACTCTTGGAATACGTTTTCAAGAGTGGTGTGGCGAGGCCCATAGACCCTTAGGGCCGCTGTGGACAATTCAGGTTAGTGGGACTTGGTCCCCGGCGGACGTTGGCCCTGGCAGTGGTATGTAGCTAGGGCGATTGGGTTTGGCGGCTGTTTTGTGGCGCCCAGCATACGCGGCGCTCGAGGGCGTAAGGCATGGGAGCCGTGACAGGCAAAGTTTTTTTCTTTTTTTCCCTTTCGGGAACCCCATTGACAAAGGTGTGCGGCTCTACGACCACAAGAAAAGTGGCCCGTTTTTTTTTTTTTTTTTTTTTTTTTTTCGTTTTTACTGTTTCTCCACGTTCGTTCTTTTTTTTTTGTTGCACGTTTCTAGTTTTGCGCCCTGTGTGAGCGATTGGCGCGCGCCACGCGCCGACGTGGCAGGCCAGCGAGCAGGTGGGTGATCTGGGTGGGCATGGTCGCGGTAGCTGGCGCGCGGCTCTCTCTTGTCTGTGGCTGTGCGACCGGTCGTTTCATCGTGGGAACTCTGACACACGCAATGGACTTGCGACCGGTCGCTTCGTCGTGGGAACTCTGACACACGCAATGGAATTGTGAAGCGTTAGCGTTTTGAAGCGGACAGGGCGTCTACGCTGGATGGGAGGGTATCGCGATCACGATCGGGATTGCCACTGCGTGTTGCCACGTGGATCAACGATGCTCTGTGGGTTCAGTACTGATAGCACGGTACTGACAGGCACTGTCGTCGCCACGTGTAACGACGAGGCGCTGCATCTTGTCAACGTCTAGCGACGAGGTGTTGTATAAATCTGCCATGTGTAGTGAAAGGGGGCGTTTCTAAGATTGCCACGTGTAGCGACGAGGCGCTGTAGGGAGGCTCTTTCTTTCATCTTACTGCTATCCGAGATTGACCAGGGGGGATGCATAGGTCTCCCGATGATAGACGTCGCGGCCATACCCAGGTAAAGGGATTGCATCCCGATCGTCGTCACAGTCGCCATCGCCAGCGGTTGTCATTGCCATCGCCTCCGTCGCCATCGCCATCGCCGCCATCATCATTGGCCTCGCCATCGCCATCGCCATCGCCATCGCCGTAGTGACCGCCATCGCCATCGCCATCGACATTGGCACTGCCACTGCCACTGCCATCGTCGCCATCGCCATCGTTGTAGTGATCGCCATCGCCATCGCTGTAGTGATCGCCATCGCCATCGCCATCGCCATCGCTGTTGTGATCGTCATCGCCATCGCCATCACTGGCGAAGGATTGACTGGTGCTGCGGCTATCGATTCGGGTCGTGGAGACCGGGGCACGGTGGAGCAGCTGTCGTCTCTCTCTCTCTCTCTCTCTCTCTCGTTCTCTCGCTCATCAACGCCAATGGTTGGAGAAGCAGCAGAGGTGGTTGTGGGTCGGTCGGGATCTGAGCCGGTTCTGCCTCTCTGATGCGCAGCAGCACCACATTAAGCATCCAGGCCTACATGTTGTGCGACTTTGTATATGTACATATATTTAAATGCGTACATTTTCGCATGTGTACAGAGAGTCGGATTGTTGGATTGATTATTGAGTCAAGTGGATTGATTGGCTGATCATATACTCTGAGACACAAACCTCTATATCAGCGGATAGATCGAAAAGAGAGAGAGAGAGAGAGAGAGAGAGAGAGAGAGAGAGAGAGAGAGAGAGAGAGAGAGAGAGATTGGTCGATGGCGCAGCATCGTCGGTTGATATCGAAACCGGTGGTTCGGAGATTGCTGCAGCGATGGCGGGCCGTCAATCATGTAGGAGAGGAGATGGAGATGAAGAAGACGGTGTATCGCAGCTCATTGGCGATGGCGACAGGAGGACAAGCCATTCCCACAGCGGAATTGTATGCGGGGAGGATGACGAATTGGATGAAGAGCAGAGGACTACCGCCGGCAGGTGGGAACACAGCAAAACGTCCTCCTTTCAGTTCCTGTCGGTGTCGCAGTGAGCGGTCTGCGGTGGTTGGTGTTGGCAGCAGGGCAGCTATGGTGGCTGCTGGGGAAAGGGTTGAGAGAGTGGTGGGTGGTTTTGACGTTTGCTCGTCAAAATTCAGTGGTAGAGTGGATAGAGCTTCATCGGTATTGGACCCATCCTTTCTTCCATCGGCATTGTCCAGTCAACGACGGTCCTTTCTCAGTGTCGGCGATGGAGATGAAGACAAGGATGTATCGAGACGTCACAAGGAGGAGCGACTCGTAGGGTACGTTGGCCTGTTTCATTGCTGGAATTTAGTTGCCCTTGACCATCGGTTCTGCTTCCTTTTCGTCCCCCCACCTCCTCCTCCTCCTCCTCCTCTTCCTCTTCGTCTTCCTCTTCCTCCTGCCGGCTCCCCGTCCTCCTTTTCTTGTGCCCCTCCTCGTCCTCCACCCCTTCCTCATCGTCGGCGTCGCCGCCCTCCTCCTCCTCCTCCTTTTTCTTTACCCCTTTCTTCCCATCCGTTCTTCTTCGCTTTCGTCCTCCCTCCTCCTCCTCCTCCTCCTCCTCCTCCTCTTACTCGTCCTTGTCTTCCTCCCTGCTCCCTGTCCTTCTTCTTCTTCTTCTTCTTGTGCTCCTCGGCGCACTCTACCCCTTCCTCCTCGTCGTCGTCTTAGCCCTCCCCCTCCTCCTCCTTTCACCCCTTTCTTCCTCTTTTTCTTCTTCTTCTTCTTCTTCTTCTTCTTCTTCACCGACTTCTTCTTGTTCCTATTCACCCCCTTCTTCTTCTTCTCCGTCGGCGTCGTCTCATCGTTCTGAATATTTTCTTCCTGTGTCTCTGCATGGTTTTAATTATCATCATCATCGCCGTTCTTTCTTTTCGCCATCACAATCATTATCATGGTTATAACCGATGGATTTGTGCACAATTATGGCCAGATTCAGTCTATGAAGTTTGATTATCTCTACGTTTTCATAACACTTGAACTTCGAGTTCTTGCTTTCCCTTCCTGTTTTCATCGCTCCTGTCAATTCTACGTTGCCTCCTCCCCCTCCATGTCTTATAAATATGTACATAGCTGTAAATGTGTGTGTGTGTGTGTGGKGGKGGKGGGGGGGGGGGGGGGGGGGGGCGGCATTTGCTGGTTTTTATGGTCTTAGGGGGTACCCACACTATGAGTTTCTGGGGTGGATTTGTGCACAATTATGGCCAGATTCACTCTTATGAAGTACTGTTGCGAATATGTGCTTAGGCACACAAAAGATTGCAGTGCGAAGATAATGTTGTTTCTATAATAATTAGGTCAAGCCTATCTTCGCACTGCAACTTTCTATGTCAAATCAATTGATCGGCCGAGATTGATTGGTTATTGAGTGATTATTGATCGGTTGACCGACGGCGGATTCGCAGGCATTGCATTGGGCGCTAGATCTGTGGAGCAGCAATGTAACCGGTTGATTGGCTGATTGATTGGTTGGTTATTGATTGATTGGCTGATCGAGTGATTGATCGATTGATCGATTGATTGATCGATTTAAGCATTTATTTAAGGAGGAGCATCCACAGATGCTAGATCCAAAGGAAAATTATGAGCATTACGTTCATGTATAACTTCCATACCTAGATTCGCACGGTTAATAATGTCTGCCCAAGTATTAATAACACGGCCTTGACCATCAACTACAGATGGATTGAAATTGAAACCACTAAGGTTAAAAGCCATTGTACTAATCCCTAAAGCAGTAAACCGAATACCTACTACTGGCCTATATCTGTGGAGCAGCAATGTAACCGGTTAATTGACTGATTGATTGGTTGGTTATTGATTGATTGGCTGATTGATTGATCGATTGATCGATTGATTGATTGATCGATTGATTGATTGATCGATTGATTGATCGATTGATTGATTGATCGATTGATTGGTTGATTGATGGATGGATTGATTGAATGATTGATTGATTGATTGATGAATGCATGGACGATGGCATGGGTGGGTATATTGATTTGTCTTTTGGCGGGAGATTTACGGCAGGTTGCCGAGAAGTGGAGTGATCTTTGTAAAATTGAAATCTCTCGTGAACGAGCGGATGTTCCCCATTTGCACAATGCAATTCGAGTGTTCCATCTTGTGAATCATTCTGGATCAGATGGTCCATATTAAAAGGAAATGAGAGTGTGATTCAGGCAGTGGACGGGCGGATGCAATCGAACAATCATCCGTTGCATATACCCGTTGGGTAGTTCCATGAGCTCTACCAATCAACGACAACAATCAATGAATCCATCAATAAGCAATTCAAATCAATCAATCAATCAATCAATCAATCAATCAATCAATCAATTGGAATCAATCAATCGATCAAACAATTGAAATCAATCCATCAGTCAATCAATTGAAATTACCATCAATCAGTCAATCAATTGAAATCAATCAATGAATCAGTCAATCAATTGAAATCAATCAATGAATCAGTCAATCAATTGAAATCAAAATCAATCAGTCGATTGAAATGGAGTGAAATCAATCAATCTGTCAATCAATTGAAATCAATCAAATCAAAATCAATCACTCGATTGAAATGAATTAATCAATCAAATTGAAAGCAATTAATCAAATTGAAATCGATCAATCAAATCAATCAACCAATCAGTTGAAATCAATCAGTCAATCAATCCATCAATTGAAATAAAAACCAGTCAATCAACCAATCAATTAAAATTGATCAGTCAATTATAATTAGCCTATCAATCAAAATCAATCAAACTAGCAATCAATCAACCAATCAGTCAGTCAGTCAGTCGATCGATCAGTCAATCAATCAAGTCGAGCGACCGACACAATCTATTGATCAACCAACCAATCAATCAGTTAATCAGCGAACTCCTTAGTTAACATCGATCGACGAACAAACCAAGATATTAATCAACCAATCAACCAGTCATCCAATCAATCAATCAAATCAACCAATCATCGGTGTTATCGTCCAGTCCTATGAGCAGGACAGGGCCCTCTAGTGTTTTCTTAGCGGTTGAATCGCTACCTACTTGATTTATTATTGATGGTTTTGCAGCAATTTTTGCTGAGGCGATGAATTAATTGATTAATTGGGTCCTGACTGCGATATCGCAACAATCCCGTTTGCAGAGTCTATCATTCAGTCGAATGGATGCCCAGTCATTTTTTATTTTTGTTTGTTTTTTGTATATGCTTCTATTTGATGATGATATGTAGCTGAAGGGCCTCGGAGAAACCCCTCACAAAATGTGGGGAGAAAAAAATAAAACCGTTCACGAAATGTGAAAAAAAAGACAAAAAAAAAGAATGGCGAGTGTAGCTTGCCAGGTTGCTATGCTGGAAAAGAGAAGAAGCTTTTGTTTTTTCAACTTTTTTCTCTAAATTGTTAGAACAAAGGAAGGGAATTTTTGGTATATAGAGAGGTTAAAATAATTTATAATATGTATTTATACAAATGGGAGCTTTTAGTAGTGTTGTGAAGGTATACAAAGTCAGGAAACGTTTTTTGGGTGTATATACTATATACAACATATAATAAGGAAAAGCATAATAGTAATATATGTGAAAGGAAAGTAATTTTTGTATAATAAATGAAGATAATATAACAGATATCATTGAACTATGTATTTATACAAATGGAGCTTTTTGTAGTGTTTTGAAGGTATACAAAGTCAGGATTTTTTTCTTTTGGCGTATATTGTACAGCTGCTACAGCAAGTAATAAGAAAAAAAAAGAAAAAAAAGAAAATATATGGTAAATTAATAATAATAAACATGAAATTTACTCTCACCGAGACCTTGCAGAAACTCAATCAGAGTGGGCTCTAGATGACTAAATTCAGAGCAGGAGACACTAATCTGAACTTAATCCTTCTTAATTGGCCTTAAAAACCTCTAATCTTTCTGAATCTAGTCTTAATTACGACTAATACAAATACGAAGCTTAACCACAACCGGGGTAAACGCGGATTATCACTTACAGTGCAATCAGTTAGGGGACTCTGCAGACTGTTGAGGGGTTCAGCTTCCCGATGAGTCAGTAGGTGAAACTCCGACGAAACAGTTTGTCACTCCCCCTCGTTTGTTGTCCTCCTCTTCTCCCTCTCTGCCTACGGTTTACCGGCCAGTTCTGTTTGACGATAGGACACACGGGGGTGGGGGCAGCCGCCGCTCAACCTACATCCACGTTGGCGGCCTTGTACGCAAGAGGTTCTGAACAGGGGGAGTTGTAAGAAAGAAGATAAAAAAACGAATTATTTTTTCTTAATCTCTTCTTTTTTTCGTCTTTGTGCTCTGATATTCATGTGACGATATTGCGTTTTGCGGGCCTACTGAATGGTTCCGTCTTTTTACTATGGATATGGTAGAATGTTTGTTTTGTGAATCTTGTCTGCTTCGATTCTGTATATTGGGCATCCTGGTTGGTTGTTTCCCGGTGTTCGGCCTTTTGAGCGCGGGGCGGTGCTTGTATGTGGGAATCGTCATCCGGGATTGTCTTCTCTTTCTCTTTGCTTGCCACACTGTGAACCGGAGCTTTTTTTGATTTTTTTTGCAGACAAGAATGTTTTGACATCCTGGTTGGTCTTGTCCCGTCCTTTGGCCTGTGGTGCAGGGGCGGTGCTTGCATGGGGGACTTGTCATCTGGGATCTGTTTTGATGCCCCCTGTTCTGTGTTATTTGGCTGTTCCCTTCCTCTCTTCTTTGCCTCTTTGCCTTTTGGCTGTGTGCAAGTGGGTCGATATGACACACGGGGGTGGGGGCAGCTGCCGCTCAACCTACATCCACGTGGGCGGCCTTGTACGCAAGAGGTTCTGAACAGGGGGAGTTGTAAGGAAGAAGATGAAAAATGAATTGATATTTTTTTGTTCCCTTTGTTTGTTTTTTTCGCTTTTGCGCTCTGATATCTATGTGACGATATACATAGTCAAACAGAGCTGGGCGGTAAACCGTAGGCAGAGAGGGAGTAGCGGACAACAAACGAGGGGCTGTGACAAACTGTTTCGTCAGAGTTATATATGGCAGTTCTGTTTGACGATCTATATGTATATTACAAAAGTGTGCAGGTGCGCTGAAAAGAGTTTACAAGAATGTGCAAAGGTGGGAACCCCTTCACTAAAACTGCAAAACAGTGAAGAATGCAGTAAAAGAAGAACATAAGTTTGTGTCATTTTATTTTGTTTGTACCCTGCACTCTAACACCCTCAAAGAAAAAGTCCGAAGGGTGATAATGAGAATAAAAAGTGAAGAAGGAAGTGCAGGTGCGCTGAAAAGCGAACGTGGTAGACTCGTCACCAAAGCTGCAAAACTGTGAAAGAAAGAAGAATGCAGTAAAAGAAAGAAGACGTTTGTGTCACCTTTTTTTTATTTTTTCTCCCTCTGCCTATCGATTTTCCTTTTCTGCTCTTCTCTTCCTTGTGTTTAACACCTCTTCCTTCACTCTGCCTCTTTCCCATAGCGTGCAAGTGGGCTGTCACGGCATATGGGGATGGGCGCAGCTCGCGCTCAACTTCATCGAAGTGGCGAGCCTTGTACGTTAGAGGCACGGTGGAGGAGTTGTTAAGAAGACTGAGAGACTGAATGATTTCAACGTGTGTAAAAAAATTATAAAACACTGAAAGAAATAAGAATACACTAATACAACAAAGAAGAAGAAGACACTGTTTTGTGTCATTCTAGTTTGTCTGTCTCTTTGCCTGTCTGTCGTTTCATTTTTCTTTTCTTCGCTCATCTTATTTCTTCTTCTACTTCACGTGCTTACGCTCTTAGTCAATAGTTCTGTGACAATATATAAATAAATAAAATAAATATCATAATGAAATAATGTCCAGTATTTATTTATTTAGTAGTGTTGTGAAGTTTCTGCTCTTTTTCCCCCTCCACATGTTGGGTTACTTATGCAGGTACTCTCCGGAACAATTATTTGCAGTCGTTGCAGCCGTCGATCTGTACGAGGACTTTGTGCCCTGGTGTCAGAGTTCGAAAGTTCTTTGGCGTAAAGGTGAAGGCGAGTTCGAAGCCGAGCTGGAGATTGGTTTTAAGCTCTTCACTGAACGCTATGTCTCGCATGTGACCATACGGAGGCCAACTTTGGTGAAGGTAAGGTTGTGCACAGCCTGGATCAGTCCCGACTGGTTCCCACTGCATGTTACACACGTGAAACTGTGAATACATAAGAACCAGATCAAGAGATCAAATCCTGTGGGACCTTCTTATGCATCATGCGACGCCAGGCGATGACCTCAATAACCATCCTCATATTTCTGCCTGTATTTTACACAGACCCGGGCATTATATGGCACTCATTAGTGCAGCTGCCCAGTGGGAACTCTGGGATGGTGGGACAATGAGTCAGGTCATTTTCGACGTGAATGAATTTTTGCGAGCATTGTCGAATCATACTTTATTCTGGATTATTGACCGACTCTCATGTGACACCTGTCGGAACAGAGACGCGGTGCGCCTTGGCTGTGTAATGCATTATCGATGCCATAGCCATTATCAATCTATTGCGACTGCCGCCGTCTGTACTGAAGGGTGTCCAACATTTCCTCATTGTACACATCCCTATCACCCAGATATACATTGTCCCTTTTGTGCCCAAGGACGCTATCAGAACTGTATGATGCCGCACTGTGATGAACGTCCTGCTGTTTTTTGACATGTGGACAAAATGTCCTCTGTCAGGACTGTTTTGATGGGATGGTTCGTGCTAGCCGTCCTGCTGAATGCTGTGCTGGCGCAGCTCTCCTTGGGCATCCTTGTGAACATCCACATCATTCTCACCGTAGCTGTCCTATCTGCTGAGGTGGGGACAGGTAAAGAAAAAAAGAAGAAAAGAAAAAGAGAAAAAGAAAAAAAAAGAAAATAAGAAAAAAAGAAAAAAAAATTAAAAAATGTTGATCTGTGGGATGTGTTATTTGCTTTGTGACAATTGGATTATCTTTCTTTCCCTGTCAGGTTTGGTTTCCTCCTCCTTTTCTTTACCTCTTTTTTGCCTTTTGGCTGCGTGCAAGTGGGTCCTTGTGACACACGGGGATGGGGGCAGCCAGCGCTCAACCTGCCATCCACGTGGCTGGCCTTGTACGTAAGAGGTGATGAACAGGTAAGACTTTCCTTCCTTCTTTTCCTTTCCTTGTTTTGCTTTTTTCCGCCTTCGCGCTCTGATTTACAGTGTGACGATATATGCAGGGGCTGGAGCCTCAGTGGGCCTATACAACATGCGGGTCGCTGTGCCTGTGTGCTCCTAGCCTGTGGGGACCACATTGGCAGTGACATTCCAGTATATATATCTATATATATATCCTCTTCTCTCTCTCTGCCTACGGTTACCGGGCATTTCTGTTTGTGACGATATATATATACAGGGGCTGGAGCCTCAGTGGGCCTATACAACCTGCGGGTCGCTGTGCCTGTGTGCTCCTAGCCTGTGGGGACCACATTGGCAGTGACATTCCTGGCGCTGCCCAACCCTTGAGCACAGTGACTGCAACTGTTTGAGAATTGGTTGCAGTGCTTCCTTCCACGAGTCTCACCCGAACCTCACCTGAACCTTACCCGCACACCTTACCCGGAAAACCGTCACTCCCGAACCTTAATTCCAACCTACATTTCCGAACCTTCACCCCCGAACCTTCACCCGAACCTTCACCCGCGAACCTTCACCCATCTTTACCCGAACCTACACCCGAACGTACACCTGAACTAGGCACCCAAACCTTCACCCGAGCCTTCAATAAGACCTCTGTTGTGTGTCAGGGAAAACCATAGTCTAATCTGTGTGTCAGGAGTCTCGCAGTCCATAAAATGCAATGTAAACAAGAAGTCTGTGTAACGAGTCCCCGAAGAGCCACCAACTAGTCATCGAAGGGTCGAGTGATAGGTCATGCCTGAAAGCAGCACGCGGAAGTCGTCAAACGGTTACCAAAGAGTTACTGAAATGTCACCAACGAGTCACCAAAGAGTCACCAAAGAGTTACTGAAGAGTTACTGAAGAGTTACCGAATAGTTACTGAAGAGTTACTGAAGAGTTACTGAATAGTCTTTAGTCACTAGCGCTGAGCAGAGGACTTGTCTAAGGTGTCTTGCAAGACGATGCTGTTTGAAGAGACATTGTTGAGGTTGTCTAGTATCTTTGTCAACGTAGATAGAAGTCAGCTGTCCTGAGTTCAGAGGAAACGCTGGCCCGTTGTTGGCCTGGCCCGTTGTTTTCCAGCCTAATAGCAGGCAGTTGTTTTGCCGAACATTACCTGCTCAATGTTTACTAATATATGCTTCAAGCGACTTGTTTCAGATCTACCCACCCTCTCCCCCTCCCTCCATTGCTCCTTTGGTTGCTTGCGGATTGACCGTGTCGTTTCTTCCTGATTGGGTATGTGCCGATTGCAGACGGTTGTTTCACAGAGCAATCTTTTCGTCTACCTGGACAACGTGTGGGAATTTCGACCTGGCCCAACTCCATCATCTTGTTTGGTGAATTTCTCAGTAGATTTCCAGTTCCGTTCACCACTTCACCGCACGGTGAGTGATTTACTTTATCCCTCCCTTCACGACCCCCCACAAGCCCATGTTTCATTCCCTCCCTCTCTCCCTCCCTCCCTCCCTCCCTCCCTCCCTAC